AGAAGGAGGGAGGGAAGGAAGGGGAGTAGGAGAGAAGAAACGAGGGAAGGAAAGAGTGAGGGAAGGAAGGAAGAAGTAGGAACGTTGTAAGATAAGATGGGTTTATGGGATGGTAAGAAAGCAATCTTCAAGTATATTGTCAACAGTAGGGAAAAATTGTTATAAATACATATTATTAATAACAGTTATGAGATCATATAATTGTGAATGTATATATGAAATTGATAAAATAAAATAAATTATTAAAAAAAGAGTCTTCCTGGGTTGTCGTGGACCCCATGAAAAGCTCAAGAAGAGGAACTGGGCTTCCCCCCCATCCCAGAATTGTACATCAAGTACAATATTCTTCAAAGGGGAGGCAGAGTTTTGCAATCTGTGAAACATTTATAGAGAAAGTCAAATAAGATTCGGGTAGATAAAGAGGTTGCATTTCTCCAATTTGGTGCTTTTGGGGTCTGGGGGAGGCCCAGCTCTCCCCTGCTCAGTCAGCAGGGTCTTCCATCGTGCTGTCAGGAAATTCTGGGGATTTTCTTCCTCCTGGGCCCTGGTGGGATCCAGGTTGGAGAAGACAACACGATTTCACTCATGTTTCCAGGTCAACAATCTGGGAAAGGAACAAAGACCTGAGTTATGTCATTATTACAAATTTTTGATTAAAGTTTTACAAAGGAAAGGAGCAAAAGTGCAGAAAGAAAGAAGGAAAAGGAAAAATTAGAAAGAACAGGTTTCTAATTTCCTTTGCAGAAAAATACAATGGCAAAACTGTCTCCTTTGATTACAAAAAAGCTCACTTTTTTTCTATTATCCGACCTGAGTTATTTCAGTCCAAGATGAAACAGGAGCCAGAATCTTTTCATACCCTGCTCAAATCAGCTGTTTGCTTTTTCAATCATCTTCTCTTCCTTCCTTCCTTTTTTCTTTCTTTCTCTCTCTCCCTCTCCCTCTCTCTCTTTCTCTCTCTCTCTCTCTTTTCCTTCCCCTTCTCCTTCACAGCATCCTAGGTATGCATCTTTTTGGGTGCAAATTTGGCTTAAGGACAGAGACGGGGGACACCATGCCAGACCGAAAGAACTTCGATTCACTGCTGTGGGCAATTGTCACCGTGTTTCAGGTAAGGCCCTTCAGGTGCCTGTTTTGTAGGGGGCGGGGCCTGTGTGTAAAACATCCCCAACCTTTCCAGCTGATCCTTCAAAAGGGCTTCATGAAGCTTCCCTGTTTAAAGGCTGAATATTGAGCCTCCCCAAAGATATCAGCATGGGGTTTTTTTCCTCAATCATCGGACAGGCGATTGATCCAACCCCACTTGGAAATAATCCCAGAAAATTTAAGATGCGCCTTTTGCAGCCTTTTATCTCCGAACCTCCAATATATAGGTCAGCATTACAAATGACATGCTGGCAGGGGAATTCTGGGAATTGAAGTCCACCCGTCTTAAGGAAGGTGGGCAAGTTTTAAAAACACGGCTTTAGAAGATTAGAATCAGTTGAAAATTCTCTGGGGAGAAAGGAGAGGAATAGGAGAAAGGGAAAGGCAGAGGAAGAATGGGAGGGAATGTAAGAGTAGGAAAGAGGGGAGGAGATAA